CTTCCAAAGCGGACGTTGCTCAAAGCGCATTTCTAAATCGACAATTTGCCGTCGTGGTTGACGAAATGGATTTGTTAACGTTCTATCTAAATTCAAATACACAAAGAAGTTGTGAAATGCAGCATTTGCGTGTTGGGCAAGAAATCAGCTGTTAACAAAATAATTAGATGCGTTAAAACTAAGTTATTCGATTTTTTTATCATAATAACATTTCATCATCGTTACACTCGTAATTATTACTAATATAATAATTAATACCGATGATTTTAACAAAACTATAAATGTAGAATGTTTCATATTTAATATAATTTGTATATTTAAAATATTTTACAAAAATGCAAAAGAAGAGTGGAACGTTAGTACACGTGGAATAAATTCTTTCTGCAGGAAACTTGTTGAGATTTTATAATTGACGAAATTAAATTGATCAAAAATTCTTCCTGCTAATTAAATTATGTCCGAGCGCTTGATTAAAATTGTCATTTATTTTCAATACAGTAGTTTCAGACATCCAGTGTCCGAGAATTATACGTATAATGCATACCTTTCTCGATTTGTCGCGGCGCGGCGCGATTTGCAACAGTTACCGCGGGGTGACACTTGCGAATTATCCATTCCCGAAGAGATCGGATTTCGTCTAAAAGCCTCCATTACGGGCAATTTGCATTGATAGCGAGCAAGTGCCTTGAAACCCAGCTAAAGGCCACTTTGCGACAATACGTTTTCAGTTTCGCAGACAGGAACTTTACTACTTTTAAAGAATTTTAACATACGAGTAAAACGTCTACGTGGAGATAAAATTGGTGCATCACAAAAATTCTCTTGCAGGCAGTTCTAGAGTACAATACGCTACACGAAGTGTAATAATTTAAATCGATAAGCGTGAATTGGCTCTCTATAAAAACCAACGTAATTACAATTATCGCATTGATGCGATAGAAAAAGAATGTACTGTAATAATCACATGAGCGAAAACAATATGTAGAAAAAGAAAAGAAAAACAGATTATTAATTTCAGATGTATTTTATTGTACGCAGAGTGAAGTTTAAGAGTTTCTCCGTTTATCAGGCCAAGCGTTGCCATTCGCGTAATCAAACTCCTCCACAGAACTTATTATTGATTCATTCACATGTTGGTTCTGTGCCAAAGTTGACCATCGAACGGTCTTTCTCGAGGATGGCGACTTTCTCCCCCCCCCCCCGTCTCCGCTTCAATCACACCCGCGCGCCGTTGTACTCGTTAGAACGTAATGGCGTGTAGGTGGTAGAAAAAAGCGTTTCCACGTAATGGCGGCAGTTTTCTATAGCAATTAAGATAATATTTGCATTTGAGGGTTGTGATTTCCTGCAGGTGTTTCGATCGCTGAGGGTTGTAGGCCTCGTTAGATATAGCGTGTGTCCCGTCCGTTACGTACACCAGCGTTCTCTCGTGTTGATTGTTAAGCCTCGCATAAGCGTAGAACAAACCAGCGCTCCCCAGATCTTTAAAAATCCCCGAATTTGAAAGTGTTAGCTGACTTTGACTCGAGACTTAAGGAATTAAGAGAAATTATATATTACATAAAAATTCATACATATAAATTTTTAATATTGTTGATTTTACTCTTCAAGTGTTCTTATAATAAATGATATCAGTGACCATAAAATTTATCTGTACCAACAAACTACATTTTTATAATAACTTTTATATCTTTAATTCTATCAACAATATTTTGTACGCAAGTGTAAGTAATAACTTTGCAAGCATCCGTTGCGATATTTTAGGAACAATAATACAACGCCAACGAAAGTGAGAAAAAGTTTGTAATTGAATAAAGTTTGCGACAGCAAGATACGCGCGAAATCACAATACTTGGATTAGAAAGGCGTTGGGTTTACTTGAAACTTGGAGATCATACGCCAATGCGTTTTGTTCACACATCCACATGCTCTGCCCTCCTCTTTCTTTTTCGTCGTGCATTACGGAACGTTCGACACAGAGAGACATGCGAGAGTACAAGCGGCGCACGTATGACACATCGAGGGGGTTCCTATGCATATACGTGCGCGAGGAGGGCGCTCTCCCGAGGGGTGAGAATTAGTCCGGCGAAAGGCCGGGCGAGGGAAGCGGGCGATGGTAGGGATGAAGGTGCCGCTATTAGATCTTTCTCATACTGATAAAACTGTATAATGGACTTAATCGCTTTGCGCCCAGCCCCCGGCTAAATTTTCGTTATTTTTCATGGGTCCCCGACCACAGGCCGCAGTTCGGTTATCACCGTGGCGAATCTACTCCCGTTTTTCGCTCTCTTTCCCTCCGTCTCGCGTCCGCCTCCGCTCCGCTCTGTCTCATTCGCGGCCCTTTGTTCTTCGTCCGCAAATCCATTGATCCTGCGGGACGTGGAACACGCACATCCGGCTGATACCGGTGCCGAACTCGTCGACAAGTACGTCGCATTTGCAAGCGTACTTTTGTCAGCACGTAGCAACTTTACATTTCACTACTCGGAGCCCCATCGTGGAAGCTTTTTATCCTACCGCGTTCGAATAAAAATTGCAATCGTGAGTCTGACATTCAAATAGTTTTCAACAAATCTAATAATTATTATAAAGTACTTTAAAGACCGAAGTTAGATATTTAATAGATTTTGCCGATTTATAAAAAAAAACACGCAAATGGATATATTTACGATATGATAATCTTACACACGATCGGTCTCGCGCGCGCGGTATTAGCTACGCTTATAGTATACTTGGCGCGAGACACTACCATGTCTCTTGATATTAATGTCTTTAAACGTGTTGCTATTTTTAATAACGAATAAATACTTCGAAAATTTTCCCGAGGCTTCCGCAACCTTTGAAATTCCAAGAGAGCGCTCTGCACACTTACACATATCTCATGAAACCTTTAGTTGAATGTAGAAAATGTAATGATTTAAATTAAACACAATAATGTTTTATTCATTGGCGATCCATCTATCTGAAGATTGATTTAAATTAACTTACTCAATATAAGATTAGATATAATGGGCCAATAAGCTAAACGAGCGATGTAGGTTTTAAAACATTTTAATAAATAATGTGATATGATCTTAGTCTATAAATTTCTTGTCGATATTTGGTGAAAGTATCTGTGTAATATATTGCTTACTTGAAAGTCAGAACGAACCCAGTTTCCGGAGTAGTCAGTTTTTTAGAAAATCAGATAGTTATAAGATGGTCCAGTGGTATCAATCTTGTTCCATATTGGCAGATGTAAAAGGGATTGGTCAAGATATGTCCAACTAATTTTACACAATTAACACGTTCTTAACGAAATCAAAGTTCCTAATTGAGGAATTTAAGGTAAACGTCCCAATAGCGGACCATTTAAGACGCTTGGAAAATTGAAATTGAATTTTTGTATATATTAACAAATCTTATTTATAAGCGGAAACGACGAAACGAAAGCTTGGATTCTCTAGTTTCTGGAAACCATCCAATAATTAGTTCCATTGGTAATAGTTGATTTGATTTTTTCGGAAAATGCGAGAAAAGGAAATGTCCCAGTACCCAGCCATCAGTTTTCGGTTATGTCCCGATACCCGGCCACTCGATGTCCCTATTACCAACCACTCGCAGATGAAAGCAGACAACTTTTTTATTTCAAAGAATTTAAAGGACTCAGCCGTGACAGGGTGGTAGTGTCTAAATATTCTATTCTAAATTTATTGCGAAAAAATATCACCTCGGCCAGGGTTTGAACCTGGACCTCCCTCTCGCTAGGCGGACGTCTCAACCATTTCGACCACCGAGGCACATGGTAATACTCATCGCAATAAACAGTCTAATGTC